GAGGGAGAGGGAGAGGGAGAGGGAGAGGGAATTTCCATTCTGTATCCTAAGGTCTCAGCTCTTCAGAGATAACCCAGGGCTGCCCAGCGTGCCTAAATCTGGGATAACTGCATTTAAGAAGTTTGAATTGAAGCCTGTGTCAGGTACTACAAGTAGGCTCCATGGAAAAGATCTTTTTAATCCAGATGTAATAGGACTGAGCCAAGCCTTTACATTCCTGCAAAATTCCTTACTAGTGGCAATGACCTTGAGCTCCCTGCAAAAACTTCTATAGCAATGTTGTCTTTCAGACTTCTGGACCTTCTTTTCTAGGGGGTGAAAAACCACACCTGTTTTGGGTACTGCTGTCCAACAGCAGATGGGAGTTTCACCTCCAGAGGTAGCTCAGGGATGTTTCTTCTCACCATTCTCCTTCTTGGCCACACTCCCACAGAAGTCTGCATGCTTCTTCCACTTGGACTAGCTGCCCCACTTACAGCTGTAAAGGACACTCCAGCTGCATCTACACCACCCAGGGAGTCTGGGGGCTTTACTTTGCACTTTAGCCTGGTTCACAGGCACAAACACTCCTTCCATGATGTGGTTCAAGAATTTTTGAAGGACAAGTGACAGTTTAGACTTTGATGTTCCCTTTCCAAGCTGCACCACACCTGGAAAGCTCCTGGAGAAATGTTCCTGGTTTAGGTTTCCTTGAGAGAAGCCAAATTTGCACACATCAAAACCATTTTGTTAACCAAATCAGTTTTTGAAAAGTGGGAATTGTTGGGGCTCTCCCTTCCAAACAAAGATATTATTCCAGGCCAAATGTGGACACAGTCTCCAACGCTGCTTTCATCAGGACTGGATGTCTCTCTGCTTTGCAGCACTGGAGAGGGTAGTTAAGCCTTCACAGAAAGGGGAATTAAGCACTGGAATAGGCTGCCCAGGGAGGTGTTTGAGTCTCCATCCCTGGAGGTGTTTAAGAGACGTATAGATGAGCAACATGGTTTAAGCCCTGGACTCAGCAGAGCTGGGTTAATGGTTGGTAGAGTTGGGTTATGGTTGGACTCAATGATCTTAAGGGTCTTTTCCAACCCAAACGATTCTGTGATTCTGTGAATTCCTTTGGTAACTTCCCACAGACTAGTTGAGTGAACCCAGAGGGAAGACAAATTCCCCCACCAAACTGTAGGCAGGTTTCCAGAAGCACAAAGTTCTGCACAGACAAGTGACAAAGGGAGTCATATATGCAGTGATGCAGAGTGATTTCTGGGCTGATCTGTACCATGACTGTGTCTCTGAGGTGCAATTCCAGCTAATACCAACCAGTCCATTGAGTATCCAAATCTACCTCAAGATCCTCCTACTCCAAACCTTGTAGGAAGGCAGAAAAAACCCTGAACAAAACTTGAATAAAAGAGATGCAAGTTATTGAGGGAAGTGTCCAGGAAGTACCAAAGCACCCACTCTTTTTATTACAACATTTATTTTAGTATAGAAGGCACTTACAATACAGAAAGGGAAAAAAAAATAATATTAAATGATAGGCACCAAAAGTGAAGTTAAAATTAAAATGACTAAGAGACAGTTTAGCAGACAAAAGGAGCACCCTTCCTTGTTAACAATCCAGCACACAGAAACAAAGCTAGTGATGACTAACTTTTTTAAACAGTTAGGGCTTTTTTTTTTTTTTTTTTTTTTTTTTTTTTTTAATAGAAAAGATAAAGGCTGTTCTACTGTGAACTGAAATTAAAAAAGAACCCCTCCACACACCTGTACAAGGATTTGGGAGTGGGTGGTGGTTGCAAACACGAGGCTTTTCAGGTCTGGCACTGCAGGAGGTCCTGGTACATCTCAATGAGGTGAGCAGCTTCTCTCTGCCCAGAAAGCACAGCACCGTGGGTTGTGGAATAATACTTCCTGTGAGTAGCCTCCCCTGAAAACATCACCTGCATTGGCTGGAGAGGAGAAGAGAAGAGAAGAAGCTCAGCTGGGCTCACAGGAGAGCAGGAGTGAGGATAAAAGGAGACAAAACTCTCTGTGCCCTCCCACATCCCCAGTGCTGGCAGCAGTGTTTTGAGGGTCCTGGTTCTTGAAAAACCTGATGTGGTGCACAACACATGTTCCAGGAGGCCTGTTGTGATAGGATAAGGGGTGGTGTTTAAACACTGGGAGATGGCTTTAAACTAGAGCAGGGTAGATTGAAATTGGCTATTAGGAAGAAGTTCTTCCCATTGAGGGTGGTGAAGCACTGGAACAGGTTGCATAGAGATGTGGTGGAAACCCCATCCCTGGAGACATTCAAGGTCAGGCTCAACCAGGCTCTGAGCAACCTGATCTAGTCAAAAAGGTCCCTGCTCACTGCAGGGGGAGCTGGACTAGATGACTTTTAAAGGTCCCTTCCAACCCCACACATTCTGTGATTCAGACTAGATATTAGATAGAAATGTTCTACAAGGAGGGTGGTGAAACTCTGCTGCCCAGAGAGGTGGTAGATGCCCCACAGAATCCCAGACTGGTTTGGGTTGTAAGGGATCTTCAAGATCATCAAGTTCCAACCCCCCTGCATGGGCAGGGACACCTCCCACCAGAGCAGGTCGCTCCAAGCCCCATCCCTGGAAACACTCAAGGTCAGGTTGGATGGGGCTCTGAGCTAGCTTATCTAGCTGAAGATGTCCCTGATCACTGCAGGGGGCTGGTCTAGAGGAGCCTTAAAGGTCCCTTGCAGCCCAAACTACTCTACGATTCCATGTCTACCAAGGCCAAGCTCATTCTCATTGTCATGCCCACAAGGAGCTGTTTGCAGGGCAGATGCACCATCACAGAGCCAGACATGACTTCCAGTGACCTCAAACAAATCTGCATGAGTCAATCAGCACCTCTTTCTCTTTCAACTTCTCTCCTTAATCCCCCGAATTATACTTCAGCCTTTTGTACATTAAATATTTCTTCTTCTGGACACAATTTCAGAAGGAAATATTAGTCGTGTTTCAAAACCCACAGTGACACAGTGTCTCACCTCTTACATCAGTAATTAGGTGCTTGCTAAACTACTGCCAACCCAGTTCTGAGGCAGAAATTTCAGCTACCTCTCTTCTCTGGGAACTACTGAGAAAGATTATTTTTAAACAGATTTCTGTGCTGCACAAAATTACACGGTGGGTTCAGGCTCTGGATGGAGAAGATGGACTGGGCAGATGCTTGAAGGCTGCATATTCAACCATTGTATTAGGATTTGGACACACAACCCAGAATGATGGAGTGAGTTTGGCTTAATATGTTGCTGAGCTGGGGTAATTATCTCCACGTGTGCTCTTGCTCTCCTTGCTATAATCAGAAAGCAAAGCCAGTGTCTGAGGAGCACATCTGTTGTCCCCTGCCAGTGCTTGAGTCCCTCAGCCAAGGAGTGGGCCTCCCACATCCCCTACTGCCAACACAGAAAGATCCCCTATCATGCACCTCTAACACATTGTAGAGGTCAAATCCTACACACATCATTTGTCCAGACAGGGAAGGAATAAAAAACTGGAAAATACACTATTTAGAGGCCCAACCAGAGACTGTTTCTTTCAGCTTCTCTCCAGAAAACCCACTGCCCAGCATCACGTTAGCCTTTTTTGACACAGAACCAATCTGGGCCATACTTACAGCAGTTTTGAAGCTTTCAGCATAAGGCAGTGGCTTAGCAAGCTTCTCTACATCAGCCCCACTAGATCCAACTTGGGTGTAAGAGTAGGATCCACGGAAGTTGGGATTGCTGCCCCAGGAGGAGCGCAGGATCCGGCGGGGTTTCGGAATGTTGGGATTCCCTGGGTGATAAACAGGAGGAGACAGAGTAAGACTGTGTCCAAGAGAAAACCTGGCAATGCCTGGCATGTATTTAGACTGATTTATTGGAAACAGATGCTAGCAGAGCCTGCAGGCCACAGGTAAGAGGCCCCAAACCAGCTCTCTTTTCTATTACTGACTTCTTATCCTCTATATAACAGAAATAGCCTCCCTTTTAATCTCAAGTCACCTTCCATTTTGGGAAAGATCATTAAAATGCTTTTGTTCCTAAGAGACTGAAAAGCTTCAGGGAAGCCTGGAGATAGTTTGTTTGAAAATGCAGAGCATTTCCTGGTCTCATTTGCCATGGTGGTGCTCACTTAGGCAGTCATGTCAGAGAGGAGTGCCTCCAAAGAGGAAGGGAGATAAGGATGTTAGAAGGCAAATCCTCCTTGTGTGGGTGCACAGGAAAAGGTGTCAGAAAGTTTTCAACACCTCTGCTGCCCCAGCTGCTACTCAGTCACTCCCCAGCATTAACCTAGAATCCAACAGATCCATTTTTTGTGGGATGTACGTGGCATGGGAAGAAGGTTTTTGAGGCTGGAAGTAGGATTTCTAGATTGCTGTAGGATTTCCACTCCTCAAAGGATGCAGGACCTAGAGGTGAGGGACATCTGAGTGAGCCAATGCTCAGGCCATTATCAACCAGTGTGCCCAGCCCAAAGATGAGGATCCCACATGGGATTCAGGGCTGTGGCTAAGGCAGCCCACCTGCTGGTTCCACAAGAGCCTCAGGTAGGGCTGAAATAGGGAGGGTCATA